AGAGAGAGAGAGAAAGAGAGAGGTGGGGGTGGGGGGAGGAAGGGAGGAGACGGACAGATAGACACACATGTATTATGTATTTGAGTGCTTGCTACAAAAGAGTTCACTGATTTAATGAAGTTCTATTATGTTCGATGGTGCGAAGAAAAACCAACCTAAAACAACAAAAACAACAAAAACAACAAAATCAACGCCAAACAAACAAACAAAGAAACACAATAAAATAGGAAGAACTGGAGCTGACAACAGATTAAACTGAGGGGCACCACACGGCTCTGTGTTGGGACCACTGTTATACACTTTGTACACAACACTACTTAAATCTATCATAATAATTCCTGCGATCGTTCGGAGACGACATACAGTTGTACACGTCCCCAGGGCCAGGAAATATGCATTTAATGGCTCAAAGCATAACAAAATGTGTAGAAAAAAGTTAAGATCTGAATAACATCCAACAGGGCTGAGGTTGAACGTCGATAAGACCGAAATAATTTTAAGTAACTTAAAGTCTTGGGTGACACAATTTACGGGACAGATCATCTTGTTGTTGGAAATGGGAAAGTGATTTTTAAAGCAAAGGCCAAAACTAGAACAAATTGCCCGTGAACTAAAAAATCCAAAATGTATCTATTACTTCACTCTATTTCAGATTTAGAGATCCGAAGAATTGCACAAATGGCACATTTATAAGCGAGACATCTCTGGAGACACAGATATCATCATCTGTCTTATCTCATACTGACTGTTACAACCGACTCCTTTTTAACATACCAACATAATTAATGAATAGATTGTGAAGACTTCGCAACCAAGCTGCAAGATGTGTTTTAAAAACCTCTATGAAAACACAAATATCATTCCTTTTAACATCTAGTTTGGCTCCATATTAAAGCCCATATTGGGGTTTTTGACAGTCTACGGAAACAAGCCACAAACGATCGAACAGTTGAAACTCAATGTTGATCAGGATGTCTAGAGAATTGACCGAAAACATGCCACGGGGCAGTTCAAAATTTCCATTTGATCGTTCAAGCTTATATGGAGAAAAATGGTCAACACTTGGAGATTTAAATAGCAATCACTTGTCTGAGTATATTTGGCAACATAATTTTTGTATGAATTAATTGTTCTTCAATGCAAAAATAGTGACTGTTTGAAACCGTATAGTAGATTTGTATGATTCTGCAAAGTTTTGCATTTTACAAAATTTTGGTTATAAGTTCAAAACTGGATACTTATTGAGTGTAGTGATCGATATTTTTATTACTATGTGTAATGTCCCCCCAGGCTGAAGTTTATTTTCTCAAAGTTTCGTTAAAATTGGTCAAATGATGACCGAGGTATTGCCATTAAATGAGTCCTCTTTTTTAGACACCCGGTACTATAAGTAAGTGTTTGAACGACCTGACACCACAAAGTCTTTCCAATTTACTACATTAGTACATTCCATCTCTAAATTGTTGATCCATTAATTAAAACAATTTAAGACTGCCTTGTAACAAAATAATACATTGAGGAAGGGCTTTTTCGCCTTTTTCAGTGTGGAATTCAATCCCCCTAATTTGACCGCATAGGAATCTGGTTTAAAATACATTTATTTTAATGTCATCTTACCATCATCATCATCATCATCATCATCATCATCATCATCATCATCATCATCAAGTTATTTGGACGAGTGGAGGTGCCGCTAAGCATATTGTTGACAATGGAGTCGAAAAAGAGCCTCGCTCTCGCTCGAAGATTTCTTCGTGGAGTCCGCCAGGCCCATGAAGGAAACGAAATCATCACCATCATTATCACAATAAGGACCATAAGAAAAATAAAAAAGGGGATGGAGACTTGGTAATTTTGAAGTTTTATGACATTCTAAAATAGTATGTGCGTCCCCAGGAAAGTGATTAAAATCATCATCATCATCATCATCATCATCATCATCATCATCATAAGCAGCAGCAGCAGCAGCACGAACAGCAGACCCAATGATAACACGAAACATCTCCCCCCACCCCACCCCCCCTCTACCCCTCCTCCAGCCCCCAGGTATTGAGCGGATCCTCCCTGAGTGAACAACATGCCAGCCTACGCTGACTCAAACAGCAACACGTCGCCGACCATCAATGGCACCAATTCGGACCTGCCCGAGTGTCTCAAATATGCTAAATATCAAGGTGAACATTAAAAAAGGCTGGGGATATTTTCCGGAGGGAAGGGGGTGGGTGAGATGAGAGTATCTAAGATATGCTAAATACCTAGGCGAACGTTTAAATAGACCAAGAGACTAAGAGTTAAAGCTTGTAAATAGGGAGAGTGTCTAAGGAATTCTAAATACCAAAGAACAAAGCAAACGTTCAGACAGACAATGATAGCCTGAGTGTGTCTTCGT